TCTGTGCACACGATTTTTTTATTTGGCAGCATCACATCCTGGTTACAATCTGCCTTCTTTATATTAATACAGTCATCAGACTAATATATAGAAAAAGGACACAACTCTTCTTTCATTGTCCTGTTACCTGTTTTTACAAATTCCATTTAAAAAATACATAGTCACAGTTAAAAAACGTCGATATCCAAATAAGCTAAGAAGTGTTTCATCACTTACTGTAGAATAAGGCATTTGTAGACAAAGACTAAAAGGTAAAATGGAGGTAACATTTGCTGCCCAGTCTGCTTTTCTTTTTTTTTTTCTTGGAGTGAGGGACAGAAAAATGAAAGTTGTATGTTATCTTGGAAAGTAAGGAGGCATGATGTGCACATTGAAAATGTAAATGCTTAGCCTAAAGCAAGGCTTGATATGAATATGATATAGTTATTACAGCTTGATGAAGGTTGGTTACATGTAACAGCTTTCTCTTTTGTCTGACATCTTTGGCCTGAACTGGGTTTCAGCTCTAGTCACTGCTGCTCTGGTATAAACCCACAGTGTGGTAGTATTCTGTAGTGCCACTGGCTCGTTAGAAAACTTCAATAAAATATAAGCTTCCACTTCTTTCGTAATTTGTTCTTTCTGAAAGAGAAGGAAATAATGGGGAAGAATCACTATTTATGTCCTATTGTGTGTAATAAATCTTTAGAAAGATAGCAGCTTTTCGTAGAAATAACTAGGAAAATATTCCAAATGCTGAAAAAAACCATTATGTTCTTTAGGAGGTGAATTGCTATTTTGGAGCTATAGACAGCTTAAGGAATAGCAAAGTATTAATTTAGTTGACCTGGACATCAGAATTTCTTGCATTCTTCTTGCAATAGCCTAATAAGGAAAAAGACAAAAAGAAATATGAAAGTGGGGTGATTTCTAGTGATTTTTTTCCTTCCTCTGAATAGAGTATGGTGAAGAGATTGTGAGATGCACAAAGACATCAGGTTTTCAGCTGTTGCTGTTGGAGAGGTGAAAATTCTTGGCTCAAGAGTCTGTTTATATGTTTAAACAGAGAAAGTGATTTTCGTTGCAAGGAGCTCTAAGTGAGACAGGCAGAGTCAGAGAATAAGAGAGCAAAAGATAATTATCTAAATTATGTTCAGGCTATTATAGAAGACGAATATAGTTAAAATGTAATTAAATATGACAGGCTCACAGGATGCAAGCATGGCTTTGGAATGCTAATCATCAATTACTGTGACTCCTTAGGGGAGTCAGACAGAACAAGAGAGTTAGAAGTCATGTGGCTGAGGTGAGATGTAGAGTGTTAAACGCTGTAGGACTGTAACAAGGCTAATTTCTTTTTTAAAATGGAGCTGCTAGCCAAACAACTTGTAGTACTGCATTTCAGCTTGAGGATCCTTGTATAAATCTGAGTATGCTGCTAGTCCTGGGTCTTCTCTTTGAGATGGAAACCTCTGCTTGGCGCAGTGATTATTTCTGTTGTGAAAGCAATGACCAGAACTGCTGCAGACTGAGCCAGCAAATCTAAAACAAATCAACCAGCAAGACAGATGTCAAAGCATAAAAAATATCAACACTGCCTGAATATTTAATAAAGCTAAACCCTGAAAAATATATTTGTTATGGGGTCACTAATAAGGTGTACAGAGACACAAGAAGTCCAAAAGACAGCAATGTCATTTTATGAGAGAAGTAAATTCTGATAGCTTCTTTATGACTGTGTCCTAGGTAAAGACAGTAGAAGTATTGCCACCAGTTCGAAAGATTTGTTTGTTTGGCATATGGGGAGTAAAGGTGAAGAAATACCATCCATTACACAGGACTGTCTAATCCCAGGCTAAAAATGAAGTGCTTTTGATCTGCTTTAATGCTGCTGTTCCTGGTATAGGGTGATTTACGTGTGAATCAATGTGAGAGGAATGTATAAAGTTTGGAGGAAATTTTTGTAAAGACCATCAAAAGTGATTTTGAGAATAGAAAGACAAGCTTGTGTGAGGAAAGTGTAAAGTAAGCACATATGCATGGTAGGACTAGATAAATGACATGACTATAAAACAATTTCCAAAATAGAATTTCTACAGAGAAACTGAAGTTATTAAAATAGTACCAGCAGAGATAACTAGTAGTAAAAAAGGAAGGTTAAAAGGAAACTTGAGGATTACCTATGATGTCTTTGAGGAACACCACTGAAAAATTGTTGTGGCTCTATACCTTAATAGAATTCTAAGTGAATTTGTCATATCAGCAAAAAATGGAAAAAAGAGGTTAGATATGCCTTGATAATGTTATGTCAGTAATCTCTTTTCTCATAGGGGTATAGTTACATGCATAAATTATCTCCTTGCTGCATAATTGTATCTATACTGTAGAGGTATTGCCTTGCATATATCGACATTCTAAAATGTAGGGTTACAGTCAAATCCATACATCTTTCTAGTGAAGGTTTGCCTTGCTTATTTCAAAAATTATTCTTTCCAAATCCATTTGGCTTGTTTTCTGTTTTGCTTTTTTCCTTTTGCCGAGAAAATAAAATAAGACATCTAATTTTCTCATTATGCAATCAAGTATTAATTCTCTAGTGGCAATATTCTTACATTTTAATAACTCTTCTACAAATTGTCTGCAATTTTTACTTTCTTTTTCCAATGAGAAAGGAACAAAATGGACACATACCAAAATAATATATATTCTTAGGACTGAGTTTACTAAAAATTATATCTATCACACCCTCAAGAAATTTTATTTTCTTTTGCATTATATTTTAATATTATTACAGGACTAATTATAATACAATCCTAATTATAGCATTGTAGCAGAAAGTAAGGACTTGCAATGCAATGGGAAGTGAAGAAACATAGGAACTTCCTGGAGGAGTTGATCTGGAAGTACATCATCAAAACAATCCTCAGAGACCTTTTTCTCAATCTCTCTTACTATCCGTTGTGCTCTTCAGCTGTATTCCCAAAGAGATGCATAAGCTTCCCTGGTATCACATCACAGGACTGACAATGGCATTTATTATCATACTTGGAAATTCTGCACTGAACTCTTGCAGTGTGTATCTGATCAGTGCTCAGAAATAGTAAAAATAAATACAGACCCATTTATATTCTATTCAATGGTCTCTAATTAATGGATTTTCTTACTGCAGAACACAAACTCCACATTAGTGTCTAGGGAGGTACAGATTAATAGCTTCCTTAGGATTTTAAACTCTTTTATTTAGTGCACCTTTAAAATATTTTCCAAATCGCTAGAAAGCAAACTGTTTTTTACATCATTGTTCTCCTTGAATAAAGTTTGTGTGTGTAAATGTCAAAGCATATGCATAATGCAAATTATGGCAATACTTTGTTATGAGAGTAGTGCTGTGATCATCTCTTTATCCCAGCCTCTCATCTTTGGGACTTTGTAGTTCAAGGTAAAAAGTTCTATTTGCCCATGGAGATCGACTGACTGTACTAGAGTAACGTTAGAAGGGATCTTAAGAAGGATAATTCTGTTTAGGGGGGAAATGTTTAAATCATAACAATCTTTCAAGACTTGAAAGAATCAAAAAAATAGTCTATTCCCATTTTATATTTTATTTAGAGTATGAAGAAACAGCTTGAACTTTAAAATAATAAACAATCTTCTGTTATCATGAATGACTCTAATTACACCCATTACCTCATGGAGTAAGACCAGTAAACTACTTGAAATTAGGACTTGATTGGATTTGTAATCTTCTTTAAGAAAATATAACCAGACGGCAATGATAAAAGTAATAGCCAGCTAAATTAGCCTGAGAAATGCTGTGTTTGTGACAAAAGGAGTTTTCCCAACAAAGGAAAAATCAAGTGTTGGACAAATAGCAATGAAGCTACTTATACTGCTAGGCTTTGGGGTAGTCTGCTGGTAGCGAGTGGTGTTCTATTCCACTTTTGCTTTGGCCCTCTTTTTCTTACATGAACATTTCTGAAGATATTCAGAACCCATTCTGGAAAACTATCTAGCTTTTTTCCTTAGTAAGTTAATCAAGTTAGACCTAACTTCATTTTATTTCTGAAGCCTTCTTTGATAGAATGTAGTTTGGCTGAAAAGTTAAATTCTGGAAATTTTTTCGTGCTTTATGAATATAAAATAATTTAAATTTTAATGTGTTCAAGTACTAAACTATTGGAAAACTGTTGTCCAGCTGAAACCTCTAGTTCCTGGTATTCTTCTTATTTGTTCTATTTTACTGTGAGCACAAAGTTATGGTGTTCTTTTCCTGCTGTGTATTAGGCTGCTTGAGGTGTTGCAGTTCACTCAGATCAGATGAGTGAGGAACAAAGATTACAGTGGTCCCAATGTACCTCTAGTGTTTCAGTCTAGCCTGAAAATTATACACTAGCTGTGGAAGACTGCTCTGTTATCCTCACTGCCACTGTGTCAGGATGGAGAAATGCTCACAACTGGAACTGCAAATGGGGCTTTGTGCCATTTGTAACTTCCTGGAAGAAGCTTGGCCCACACAAAGAAAGCTTGGCTCCTCTTGCTCTACTGCTCCATTTAGATGTCAAAAGTTGGAGGTTTTAGGTGGTTTGGTTTGTTTTTCTTTCTACAATTTTAATTTTCTTTTACCAAGCTCTGGTGATTCCTCATGAGAAGTTAATAGGAAGATGCATTTACTTTTATCTGAGCTTTTGTTTATCTAATACAGTCAATATTAGTCAAGGATTTTAGACTTTGATCCAGCCCTTTTTTCTTTGACCATTTTCTTAACTTCCAGCAATAGTAAATTGCTGTCCCTGCATACAAATTATAGTGTTATATGGTATGTATGAAATTGCATAAGCAGAGTAAAGACACTTAAAAATGAGAGAGTAGTGCTGGAAATCCAGGCAATGAAAAGTGTTTCTCCATTTGGCCTGTTAAATGATAATAGTACATACTGTCACTTGAATGCATTCTGAATGTTTTATTGCAAGCTTTTGTGACTGTATTCAATATTTGTGCATCTTTGTGAATTTTCTTTGTAGATCCTGGCAAACAATCACTTTTGATAAGCAGCCTGCATCTTTTATCAGAATAGTTGGAACTCGCAACACAGCTAATGAGGTAAGGAACTTCTAAAAAATCCTGTGTTCTTCATGAATATACAACAGCACCGTTTTTCTTATCATGCAGTGAAATTGATAAGGCTTTCTCAGATGTACATACTTCATCTTTTTGCTCTGGCAATCTAGCAAAGCACTTGAACAGTGTTATTATCTGTTCCTCATTTTGACCTTTCTACACTGCCATCAAACACTCCTATTGGGTTTGGTTTTAAATTAATCCTTATTTTGATGAACAATTAAAATATCAATTTAGTGCACTAGAGAAAGGTGTATGGTCTCTGATATACTTGGATTTTATCACTTGTATATTATCTTTTTAATTAATAAAACAGAAGAAAAATCTCATTATTCATAAGAAAATCTTATTTGCATAAGATTCACTTTTAATTAATTTTCATACCTGGCAAATCAGTTGAATAATAGTGGCCAAACCAAGAGGTTTTTTTCATTTTATACAGAAAAAAAAATTTAAACTGCCCATCAAGTGCAATATCATCCCATCTTTGTCTACTTGTGCTTTTCTCTTTTGTAATCATTGTGTATTGTCTCAGATGAAGTCCAGATTTTACTCTTGACTTCAGTGAAACAATTTACAGTATGTGAATTTAAGAGTATATGTACGTCTTTGTGAGATTAGATTTTATATGATGACATTATAAGAGGCACCAAAAGCCCCTGTTTGTGTCTATAGACCTGCCTGTCTGCATCCCACACATGTAGCTCACCACCAAACATGGTACTTAGATGCTTTACACTGAGCTTGGGGTAGCACTACTACATTTGGACTAATTAGAATTTGTCAGCCCCAGAGGTGAGGTTTTCTGGTTGTATTTAGCATTTGGGGCTGCTGGTTCCTAAGCACTAGGAGCATCTGTGCCCAGTTGTAGCACAACTCTTGCAAACAAAAGCAGCACCAGATATCAACATCTCAGCCAACTGCTGGAAAGTAGCTGACCAACCAACAGAACTGGGAACACAAATTTTTATTTTGTGTTTCTGAGCAGTGTCTCCCACCACATACAGTTCAGCCTTAATCAGTGAGACCTTAGAATTAGTGTCAGAAGCTGCCTATGGGTTAGCACATGTGTGAAGAAGCCTTCTTCCATTACTGATCCATATTGACAATCTTGTTTCCTCTCATGCCAGTGTTTGCTAAAAAAGAGCGAGGTGCATTGCATAAACTTAGCACACCAAGAAACATTGCTTTCAACTTTGAATTCTTAAAAGTAGCTTTAAGCCCTGAAGAGCAATGGTCTTTTAGACATAATTCTAATTTCAAATTGGTTACTATTTCTAAGTAATTTAATATCCTGCATTATTATTTATATAGAAGATTGCATTCACTGCTGTGAAGATGAGTATGGATAGAGGTTACAGCTATTCATGCAGCGTCTCAGTTGAATTATAAACACATGCTGTTCTCCTTTGTCTTTTCCTCTTTTGTCTGTAAAATCTGCATCCAACACTAGTTTGTTTTTTATTTTTAAAATAATTTCTTCTAACATTTATAGAGGAGGATCATTGTCAGTGTGCACATATTACTAAATTACTTTATATATATATATATTAAACAGTGGGTCTGTAACATTTTGTCATAGATTTTAATTTTCCAAAGAAAACAGCAAGATATTTTTCATATTTACAATTTATATAGTGCCAGTGTAACCACTTTCTTGGTTTGTTCTATACTCTCAGTAGTTGTTTCAGTAAGAATACAAGCAGTGTCTAGAATTACTTGCCCCAGCTGGTTGTACAGAATGTCAAACCATTTTCATTTTAAATAAAATCTACAACATATTCAGCAGCATATTTTTATCAAGGAGTGTTGCTGTAATAGGTACAAAATATTCCTTATTTGTTCTATCAACTCATACCTTTGAACTTTGAAACACAATCGTACATCCCAAAGGGAAGAGTTGATTTTTAGAATTTAAAAGAAATCCCATAAAATTTCTCCATTTTGTGAATTCCTTATTCTTTTAAACTCATCTTTGCCTTGCCATGTTTTCCAAGTTTTGAAAGGTGTCATGTTCACAATTTTTTTGACTGGAGTTTGAATAGTTTTTGGTATATTAGAACGTAATAGTAAGTGTAACTTTGTTTTCTCGAGTTTATACACATCCTACTTTTGTAGAGAAAATAATTTTTTTCCTTGTCATCATGTATTTGTCAGACAGGTCACCTGACACTTTATGTAAGTTTTCTCTTGTTATTCCTCTCCAGTATTACTGACCTGGAAAGGACACCTAGTTGCTGATGTGAGAGCTTTATCTTACAAATTACTGCACCACTATATTTGTACTTGGCCTTCCTGCTTTGTGTGTCTGACCTCTCTTAAAATAGCCATAAGAGGTAGAACATGATGTGGGTCACAGGATGATCCTGAACTGTCATCTTTTTCTTTTGAGAGAAGCACATGCAAGATTGTTTGTTTTAGTGATACTGTTCTGAAATGCTTAATTCTGATACCAGATGAAGCAGCTGGGCTTAACTGTGCTTCTCAGGCTTAGGCTTCTCTCACAAGCTGTATTTTTTATATGCTGAAGTGGCAGAGTAACTGAGAATAATGTTCAAAATGCACAGCCTTGTCAATATGCCACACATTTTGACCATTAAGAATTTAATATGAAAGAATCAGTAAAAATGAAAGTTACAATTTAAGAATTGTGTACTTCTGACTTTCTAGACTAGTATTAGCTAAATTTCAGGGCTATCCACATTATGTGTAAAAAAGCTGTATCACTATGTAAAGTGAGGTTTTAAATGAGAAACACTATTATTGTGGGATGCAGCGGAAATACAGAATCTTCTGGCTTAGACACCTCCCCCATATTCTGTGCTTCCTTTCAAGGAAAGCAGCATCTTACAGAGGTGCACTGAGGAGAGAATGTTCTTTTCTGTGAGGCTTTATCCTGAAAAGTGCAGCTGGAAAAATTACAATAGCTGTTACTTTAAAAACATGGGAGTGGGATGAGTACAAAAGGGACTTCTCTAGAAGTGGAGATAAATACAAAAATTGGCTTCTCAAGAACTGTAACAGATGGAGAGAATGCATGCCAGTATGGGAAATAGTTCAGCTTTAGGAAAAAACAGAAGAAATGCAGAGGAAAACCATTTTGTGCACATGTCTATGTGTGGGTGCTGGTGCAGATTTGTAATCTGTTCATATATGTATATATAAGGCATAGCAAATTCATCTTTATGTGAGCATGAGTGTATGTATAGAAATATAATCACATATTGCAATGTATCTGCATAAAAAACTTACACTGAGGGGCACAAAAATATAATGGGGATTTTTAGAAAACCAAGCAGTGACTGAAGATTTTTAAAATTCATTTTATGTATGCTGTCAGAATTCGAATTAGCTAGCTACATCCTCAGAAAAGACCTGGGGCTACTGCAAACATGTCAGTGCAGATGTCTGCTCAATGTTCACTTGAGCACGGATGGTCAAAAAGAATAATAGGATTTTAGGTTGTATTGAAGAAAAGATAGAAAATATAGTATTCTGTAGTCTTGTATGAATATTTAGTATATCCATGTCTTGTTTATGATATTTGATTTTGCATATATTAATTTGAAAGGGTCTGGGAAAGGGCAGTTAAGATTATAAGAGATTACCTTTGTGAGAAAAGCTTTAAAGAGAAGAATATAGAAGATGTCATAGAAGTATACAAAGTTAAGAAAATAAGTTTAAAATTCAGGATTAATATTCATCAAATTTTAACTTTTAAACTACAATGCATGGGAAAATAGCAAATTTAAAGAAGTGTAAGAAAATATTTATGTTTAGTATGTGGCAAAATTATGCAATTCATAGCAATAAGAAATCATATGAAAAGAGGTTTTGTAACAATTTTAAAGAGTTCCTCCCCCTTCTTCTCCCAGGCTCTTCAAGAACAAGTAGAAGTAAGTACAGTAGAAAATAAATTGGAAAAAAATGCTTAACACATGGTCCTCTTACTCTAAGATACAGTCACCTGTACACTGGTCCCAGGTATTGTTTGAATCATCAGAAAATGATCACTATTTCAAATGGAATATTTCATCTGATGAAGCAGCAGCCGCCTTGGACACTCTGAATGCCTTTCTACATACTCCAGGACATGTCTGTAGAGCTGCCATTGTTATTACAGCAGAGGGCAATCTTGAAATAGAATCATGTTGGTAATGATTTACATTTCATTTCTAGTGTGCATGAACATTCAGCCTCTTGAGGAAGTGATTAGATCATAAAATGTGTTTAAGACAATTAATATAATTGTTGTTATTATCCAATAGCATATTATAGGTATTTCTACTAGTTGGCAAAGAAAAAAATAATTTACAAATATCCCTATCTGCTTTGGAACTATAGTTCTGATTTTTAGTGCCATATGCAAAGGTTGGTATAATTTGATGGCCTTCTCTTGCTCCAGTGTTGTCCCTGTCTAATGTTTATGGCCCACAAGTAAATGTTTTTGACCTCATGGTGAAACATTCTATTTTGGCTTTGTCACTGATCTGGCCTGCAGGCTTCCATATAGACTTCATCTTACTTTGGTCATGCTTTTGCCAGCATTAAATTGTTTTGCTTTATCTTCATTTTTTGTTCTCTCCAGGTGTTTCACTGTGTGCATTTTGAGTGCCCAGCACAAAACAGTACCCACAAGGACGAGAGTAGTAAGGAAGTAGCAACAACAGAGGTGGGGACTGGTGGACAGTAGCTTGTTTCTCGCCCTGTTGGAGCTGCAAGCATCTGGTTCCCTGCATTCCCCTCCTGGATCCACCTTGCATCCTCATGTTCACCAACCATAAAGGAGGTTGAAAGGGAGCTTTTACAACCCCACTGACATTCTGTGAAATTATTCAGAACCTCCTTGTGCTGGCACCTTTTCTTTCTTTGTGAATGAAGGGGACCATGTCTGAAAGCTGGAAGTATTGAAATGGAAAAGGCTTTCTCCCAAGGACATGAAGAGACTGTTTCATTCTCCTCGATATGTTCAAATCAGGCTGGTCTCCAAGGGGGGAGAAAATAGGTCTTCAATCTTCATCAAGTACCCCATTAACACCCTACCTCTCTAGTCTAACCCAGGCAAGGAAAACAGAAGGAAATAAAATGCAGAGCTACAGTGGAAATCTAAAATTACTCAAGCAGAATGGAAAGTATATAAAATAAGTATTTGTTCCCAGGAGGCTTTTATTAGCAAAAAAAATGTTTATGGAACACATCAGTCCAGAATGTATTTTATTTTTAAAGTGATTCTTCATCCATATTCCTTTGTAACTAGTAATTTGTTTTCGAAATCATTTTGATTCTGTATTCCATTTAGTTTCTTATTTTTGGCTATAGCAAATGCTGTACAGTAGATTAAGGAAGTATCAGACATGCTTACCTGCTGAGATGCAAATTCTCTCATTCATCAGTGGGATGACAAGAAAAGCATTCATTATATCAACAAACTAATTAATGTTTCTATATTAATCTTGACCTTAGCTGACTTTTCAAAGTACAAAATTGTCATTTCCTACATTCAAAAGGAAGTTTCTAAATCAAACATCCGTCTTGAAGAAAATTGTATTTTTTCACTCCTGAAGATGATTATTTAAATTTTGCCTGCTTAAGACAACTTGCAACAGAACATCAAAAATGTTTGGTTTAGAAAAGTGGAACTCCATCTGGTCACTGACAAGCAGTTGTTCAAATACCAAAAGAAGAATTTGCAGATAATTTACATTTTTCCAAAAAGAGTTGTTTTACAGTCTGGAGCTAAAAATTCAAGGGCTGTGTATGCATTAACATTTCTCATGATCTTCGTAAAATGTGATGCTTTTGCACCATATTGTAAAAGATCTGGTTACTTTACAGTCACAGGATTCATTATCCATCCCTATCTGTCTGGATTACATTGTCTGCTACTTTGCTTATTCTGTTTTCTTCACACTGATGATGATGTAGTCTCTTACTCTCCAGATCTGCATGACTTTTAGGAAGAACTCCACGTCAGTCTTTCAGTATGGGATAAAGAGATTTTGTTTTAAGACAAACGCCGATGTAATTGGCAAAATTGATTAGGATGCTTGTTCCTTCTCACAAAGTATATTATATTGGAAATGTCAGCTAACCAGTTTTATGAACTTGGAATTTCCTATGGTGATAAATAACCTTGTCAGAAGAAAACAAAGCTAGTGCAGGATAAATACGGTTTTCCTTTGCATAACCATAGTGATAAAATGAGTTATATCAACATAGCAAATTGTGTGCTAGTTTATCACACTACTTAATTTGAAATAATTTCCCTGTTGGATACTAGTTGTGCTAAACCCAAGAAGAAATATAATCACTGGTAGCAATGAATCAGAGGATATTTCAAATAAGAAAAGCATCCCTTTTCTTTCAAATAAAATTGATTAGGCTTTATCAATAATATTCTAGTATTTTTCATTGCCAAATTACAATTTAGTTCTGTCATTTGCATACAGTTCCCTCCCTTCCCACTGCTGTGTTCTGACTTGTGAATGTCTGTTGGTGAAGATGGATGCCCACTGTGCTGTATAAAGCTTGTAATTCATGTGCCACAGCTGCCTTAGATAGTGTGGAGTTCTGAGGCAGGATACTGCTTGTGCCAGCCACCTCCCAGTCTGCAGGGCTGATTACCTTATGGCTTAACAGCCTTTGGAGCATGGAATAATTGAGACCAGCTACTGAGGACACCACTCTCATGTTTATGCATAAGTCCAAAAAGTTGGAATTGTTTTCCCTTTAAAATTAGCAAACTTTTTCAGTTGCGATCCGTGCTGGAACTACTGAGATGCCTGGAGCATGTCTTGCTTTTGACAGATAAGTCCTTGCATGGCAGTGGTGATATTTCTTTGCAGTTCCATCAAACAAGTCTGCTTTTCTCAAACTGTGGATAAGCAAAGGGCATAACTTCCTAGCTGTTAGCATTTAGTAGCCACCGTGGTAGAGAACGTTAAAAAAACTAAAATCAAAAAAGGTTGTGCCATCTGTGGTCTGAGCCTAGGCTCTCAGAGAAAGAATGGAATTTTTCTATTTGTAATCTTTGATGTGCACAGTTAATTTTTATGACACAAGTTAGTCTTGTAGGCTATAATCCATGGAACATCTGTTTGATCTTGTCCTGTAACTCATTGTGGAACAGAAATGTCCCTTTATTTCCCATGGCATTCACTCTCTGCCAAGAATCTAGATGAACATATCTGAGATCCCCAAACCAAAAACTTTGAGGTCCTACTGACCCTTCAGTTTCCCACCCCCATAAATCTATAAAAAGATAAACCAACTTTGCATTGTCCCTTCATGCAGGTGAGTGGCAAGTTTTAGTATTAGATTTCTTTTCAATCACAATGGCTTTTCTCAGAGTCTTCATTTTATTTAGAGTTGCTCTAAACAACTCAGTTGAGAACCTGTCATCAAGGTGACCCAAGTGAGCTCCCAGCCTTTTAAGGCAAGTCCTGCCACAAGCCCTTCACGCTTTCAACCTTTATCCTCTTTATTTAAAGATATAATGTTTACAGAGAGCTGAACTCTACTGGGTCTTCTAATATTGCCCAGCAACAAACACCCCTAATATCTGTATTGCCTAGAAGAGGTCTCTTGTCTTAAACATTGTGTCACAATGTGTTAGTAGTGACAAAGGAGGATACAACTCAGAACTGATTTGTGGGTTTGTGTGAATGTTCTCATTCTTTCTAATTATTGTCTGTATTTATTGACTTTTGAGTTCAGATGTACTTCCTGTATATTCCTCTGAAGTTGGGGTTTTTTTCCCCTTTTTTATCTTTTCCTTTCAGTGAAAGTAAGTTGTGCTGTTACGGCGTTGTATCAGGGTTTATCAAAGTGATGGAATGCTGTAATTATTCAGAACGGTGTAATCACTTTTACTCTGTTTAGAACAAGGTTAGAGCAGAACTGACCAGGTACTCATTGCTTTCTTATCAGAAACTATAAAATAGACCTGTTGTTAGAGTTTTGCATAATGGAAATAACTATAATGACAATCCTGACCCATTGATTCTATTTGGTTCTTCAGTATCTTTAAATTCCCCAGGCCTCTTTTTCTCAATTTTACTTCCATAGGTTGAATTCAGGCTTAGACTTAACTCACGTGGAGCTCAGCAAAGGCCTTTCTAAAATCTTTTTATTTAGTTAACTTTTTCTAAATGAAAATAAAAGGTTTTTTATTCACAGACTGTAGAGGAAAATTATTATCTGAGGAAATTAATTTTTGAAGTGAGCAAACATTGTGCAGCTTACAATTTTTCAAGATGCTTTTCAAGCCATTTCCAATCAGCTTTAACACAAGTTGAAATGGCTGTTAAATGGAATTGCAATGAGAGAAGTTAATGCAAGTCTAATGTTAAAGACAATACAGAGGAGAAATCACTAATTTTGTTAGACTAAGAACTCTTCTTCATTTGCCATTTCCTTCCTTCAGAGCTCCATTTCTTTCTTCGTTTCTCCATGAAAATCATTGAGTTTTTCATTATGACAACATGTAAGAGCTCAGTGCTTCTCAGAATTGCTGAAAAATTCAGTTTAATGCATCTTCATCTTTACTAATGACAACATTAGAGAATTTTCAGTTAAGTACCTGACTTGATGAGAGTTGATTTCCATGAAAGAAAGCAAAATAAGTCTGTAACTGTTTCAGTCTAATTAAATTTTCAGTACAAAAATTAGATGACAAAGTTTATGCCATTCTTGTCTGATTGTTGTGTCTGGTTATAAAGTGATGCCCACTGAGAGACACTTAGTAAGAGATTAGCTAGAACTTTGATTTAATTAGCTATAGATTGCATTTCTCTATGAGAGAATTGGCTTATATTTTGACAGGTATTAGCCTACTGTCAAAGAAACAAGTCAATGCATTGGTAATTTTGTTGTTGTGGCTAGAGTAGTAAGCAACTGATAGAGCCAGAAAGAGTTAATAGATCCAAGAGTAAACGTTTAGGCTTGTGTATCATCCTATCAGTTGCCAGAGGACTAAACCATGCTTCAAAAATAATTGTAGATTCCAGAGGATGCTTGAGGCCTGGTTTCTATCCCCATCTCTCAGTTAATGGTTCTATTTAGGTTTGAATTGTTAGTTCTCTCTGAACTGATTGTTGTTGTTGTCAGTTGTACTAGTTTACTCATATATAAATGGAAGCTCCACAAATCTTTGTTCAGGATACAGAAGGGAAGGTCCTGGGTCAAGTTTTAGGACTGCTTAAAGACCCAAATATATATGTGTGTGTGTGTGTATGTGTGTGTGTGTATATGTGCATTAAATTGAGGTCCTAGCTATTTATTTAGCTTGCATTTAGAATATATTCTAAAGTTCCAAAATGGGGGAAAAAAAATCTATACAGGCAGGTGTGAAATGCTGCTGTTGTGATATGGCAGGATGCTGATTGCTTTAAAAGTGCAAATGTCTCAAAAAGGTACAGGCAAACCAGTCCAAAGTTTGTGTTCAGTTGTTAAATATTGGAGATTTGGCTGTAGTGAGGTGTATACAATATAAAACAAGCTAAATGCTCATCTCAAAGATGGGCACAGTCCAAAGAAAACAGATATTTTTCCTACCAACCTTGTCTGCCGTGGGTTGCATTGTTTACAGAGTGAACCTTCATAGCACTTCTGTTACCTGCTGAAAAAACCCTGCAGTCATTTTGGCTCTTGCCAAGCTTTTGTTGCAAAGCTTTGGCTGAGGTAATGACAAAGTCCCACTCATATTCCACGGTGGAATCTGGGTCTGTAAGCTCACATGGAAAGTTTTAAAATCACATTGCAACTTTCTTTAGATAAAGAAAGCCCAAATTTAAAAGTGCAGCATAGTATGAGGAAACTACAGGTATCTGTCATATGCCCACGTACTGACTGTCTGTGCAACCACACACCCATCCTATCATACTGGATGTGTTTAATTACTACGGTGTGTCCAGATGGTGGAAGTGAAGAATGAGCTCCCTACACCCATGACATTATCCATTTTCACATGGTCAGTCATTAAAGAAGCACTGCTCCTTCCAGCCTAATACAATAATACAACTCAGTGTTCTGAAAAAAATTATAATTGCTTCCTTACATGAACGTAATGGAATTGAAGTTCAGATGACTAAATATTTGAATGAGCGGTGGCATCACCCTGCACAGGTGCAAACATGCCTCTCTAGTGCCTCTTACTACTTTAGGCCCTGGGCTATCACAGAGGAGGAAAGCTGCACTATTGATAAAATGAACTTTTATTCATCCTTTTTGTACTTATCATCTTGGCACATCTATTCTCTTTGTGCAGCTGCTCAGTTAAACAAGTTTCTCATCATTTTCAGAATTATCCTCTGACTCCTGAAAACTGGCAGATACATATCAACTTCAGTCAATTATTTTAAGTGGTCTGAGGAATTTACAAAATGAATCTAATATAGTCTTTTACACCAAATTCTATGTGTCCAGAAAGTACCAGCCAAGTCCTGAAATACCAAGTGAGTTGGACAGTATTACTGCTCAGATGAGGGTATCTAAACTATGTGCCCTGTAGTTCAAGTAAACAGTAGTTATCACAGCATCTTTCTGTAGAGGAATCCGGGAATCACAGAATGATTGGGTTGGAAGGGACCTCAAAGATCATCAAGTTCCCACCTCCCTTCCATGACAGGGACACGTTTCACTAGACCAGGTTGCTCAGAGACCTGTCCAAGCTGGTCTTGAAAACTTCCACGGATGGGCATCCACAACTTCTCTGGACAACCTGTTCCAGTGCCTCACCACCCTCACAGTAAAGAATATCTTTCTAATACCTAATCTAAACCTACTCTCTGTCAGTTTGAAGCCATTCCCCCTTGTCCTGCCACTACGTGTCCTTACAAAACATCCCTCACCATCTCTCTTGTAGGCTCCCTTTAAGAACGGGACAGCCGCAGTCAGGTCATCCCAAAGCCTTCTCGTTTCCAGGCTGAGCAATCCCAGTTCAGCCTTTTCTTCATTCTTGTAATTTGTGGTCTACATCAGCTGTCTGTTGTCTCTGTATTCCTGAGCTGTAGTTGCTAGGTGGTGAGATTTGTGGTTGATACCTAAAATCCAGTAAGTGTGTTTAACCACAGATGTTAAGAAGTTTTTGTCTTTACTGAAAACTTTTAGCTTGTGCTTTTGAAATATGATCAGGCCACAGAATTGGCTTTTGAGTATCTTCTATAGCTGTCTGTTGGATTTTTGAGTTATTCAGTTGCTAAAAGATGGTAAGATTCCTCTCAGTAATTTCTCATAGAGATTTGTCATGCTGAGAAATGGCTTTTGAAATTATCATGGCAGATTCACTGCTGGAGAGTAGGGGCAGGTTTATTCTGCTTCTACGGGCCAGGATCCTGTTTGGGTTATTCTCTAAGTTTGTTTTTGCCATATTTAATAACAAGGGTGTCAGTGATCTGGGTCTGTCTCAGAAATCATGTCACTCATTTTGAGAGGTAAATACTTAAAAGAATGTTTTTATGCAATAATACAAAGCTGATGAGGCTTGGATGATTAGATTAGAAATATCACTTAAAGCAAGAGCTGGAGTTGCAAAAAGAGAAGTTTGGGGAAAAAAAGACTGGTATGGAATTACTTGGTTGCATCTGTGCATATATAGTGATGGAAATGTATGTGTTAAGCAAGTTGGGTGACTATTTGCAAAGATGTGTTTCTATATGGCCTTTTTTTGTTAAAAATTGGAATTTTGTTAAGGAATCTATCACTCAACTGAATAGGAGTGCTGAAAGAGAACATAGGAAGTGAGGCTTTAGTAGTTTTTATGGCAAGAGGAACACAAATATAAAATTCTTGTGGTCTGAGCTAGTTCTGTTTGTCCCAAATCTTTCCAGCTCTTACTTTTTATTACAAGCTTTCACTAACCTACTTGTTACTTCTTTTCTTTTCCTCCCTATATAGCATCATATCACTGTTGCTGAGGTGTTCCTTGTAATTTTCCTACATATTGTGATATATTAAGGAATTTTTAAAAAATATTTATTTTTACCTCTTTATCCTACGCTGAATAAAATATCATCATCCCCTTTCATTCACATCAGACTCTAAACTACCACTAGACTGTCAAGTGCCAGTGAGCAACATTTGAGTTTGGCTCTCTATGGATGTGTGAATTACTAGTCCTTTTGGGCCTCGTACTTCCATGATCTCTTTACAGTCTGTTACCCTGAGGAGGAAAATAAGTAAAAAGTTTACTGTTGACTTAGGAAGTAGGCCAGGTTTTTGCTGGCTTACATAACTTAAGTTTAAATTTTAAGTATTTCTTTCTCACCATGGTACACCAGATATACGCTCAATTTGCTAGTTGTGCATTATCCAAGACATCAATTGTACATCATAAGTGTTCTTTTCTAAGTAACCTGCATCAACAAGAGTGAACCTTGAAAGAATTCATAACTTTTCAGTGTCCCTGTGTGAAGGTATTTCAGCTGTCTAGATATCTGAACATCACACTGAGCACATGGATTCATTTTGTGAAGTACAGCATTACTTCACAACTTGGACCCCATGTCTATTAACCTTGTCCAGACTCTCATAAAATGTTCTTTCCTTTCTGCTTTGTTCAGTTTCACTATTGTCTTTGGTTTTCTTTTTTTAAGTGAATGTTAGTGTTGAGAGCCAGGCTAAACAGAAGTTTAGCTTTTAAGTGACCTTTTTCACTCATTCTCTGTTAGTGGCTCCTCTTTCTTGACAGTAATTTAAATCCATTTTACACTATGTTACCCTCCCCTTCTCTGTAGCAATTATAATTGTACCTTGAAATTTTTGTGCATTAAATTCCTTTCCTTCTTTCTCATAGAGTGGTTCTAAACTACCTCAGATTTTGTCATGAACAGGTACGAGTTTCAGCTACAGTTTTTAGCCTTTAGCCGTCTTTGAATGTTCTTTAAGTGCATGTGTATGTAGCAAAACCAGCCTGCCAGACCCTGATTGCATTTTCAGGAATACTGTCCCAAGTGAGACAAGTAATTGGGATGAACTCACAGCCACACCTGTTCAGGCTCTCGCTGATACCTCTTTCAAGAAAAGCTTTTCAGGAGCGCAATTTCTGGTATGGGAAGTGCTTCAACTTTCTCTTTGAAGGGACATGATGCTGCCTGCACTGGATGACTTCCACCTCTCCATTATTGTGACAAGCATCATAAACTGCATCATCAGGCCTCCATCCCTGGCTGCAGGATCCATGCTATTGCATTGGACTGTGCTCATCATATGAGAAGAAACCCCACATGGTGTGTTCTGAAGACCTTGGTGTCATTGTATTGTCATTTTATACTGCGGCAGATGTGCATTACCAACCCTTTGGGCTAATTAGATTTCAGGTTAAATGGTGGTTGCAGATTGTGCTGCAGTGACCCAGTTGATAACTTTGGGAATTGTCTGGTTTTGTAAGTTATCCATTGAACAACCCAGCAAACCTCATTAGTGCTGATTTCCTTTTCACCAGCAGACATGCACATCATCAAACAAGCATTTTGTAAAGTGGAATTTTCTATGAGCATCTGGAAAAAGAAGCATCCCAATTATTTTCTTAGTAGCAATGTGTGTATTTGTAATGAAAGTTTTAGAATTATTAAACTGCTGTAAGCTATTTTGTGCATGCTCTGGCATTGTATTAACAGTTTATATTAACAGCTGATAAGCAGAGGGCTGTGGCAAACAAGGAATGCTGGCTGTGGATTTTACAGTTTCAAAGAGCAGCAGAGTGCCAGAGTGGATGCAGGACCAGACAATGCTCAAAACAAATCATAAAGTGAAACTGTTGTGCTTTGTATTTATTTCTTTGGGGATTCTTCTTCAAAGTATTTAACTTCACAGGAAAATATAGAGTATATTTAAAATAGTAACAATTAGAAATACACCTTTTCAAGAATGAGAGAGGTGTGATTTGAAAAATAAAGTGATCTTTTGTGCTTAACTGCTTTCTGTAGTTTTGTTAACATAATGTTAGAACCTGTCTGATGCTGCTCACATATTGCATGTGTGGGTAGAAGACTTTGGGCAAAACTGTATTGATATCTCATCACAGCAAGGAAGTTAATAACCTCATCATTGATCTATTAACTCATAATGACACAGTCTTAATATCAACATAGAAAATGGTGGTGATTTTCACTGTGATTTCCAGGCCACCAGGCTTCCATAAAGCTACTGCAAATGTTTGGACCAACAGGATGGACCAACTGGATGTTTCTACCAGGATGTGCTGCTACACTCTGGATTGAAGTGTATGAATGAATGTTTCACTTTATTTCACAAAAAAAGTGGACAAATATTGTGAGGCCTGGGATTCTGTTTCCTAAAAAACAAACCAAAACCCACTTGAT